ATTTTCCAATTGACTCGCTTCTATAATTAAAGAAGTGTCTTTGTGAATAGATATGAAGAGAGCCATCATTAACGTTCATCGTTTGACCACCACTTATTGCGATAACATTACCCGTTCAAAATTTAAAAAGCGGTTGATCAAAGACTAGATCTCGTGGTAAGATAATAAACTTAATGATGCGCAGTAGTAAATCTTGTGATTCTATCATATTAAATTTGAACTTCGGCACTCCAATTGGTTAAATCACTTCAGGAATCAGCAGCTGAAGAAGATTTCTTCAAAGCAATCCGAAAAGTCAATCGTCAGGACGATTGGTTTCATCTGTTCTAAGCTCTCGTAAATTTATGATGGAAGTGGTATGAGAGCTGAAGTACTCTGCCGCCAATTGGATTCGCACTGAAAGAGTTACGTATTTTAGGAGTGAGTCATTGGCTGATTGCTTTGAGAACAACCACCAATTTGTTTTACCGAGGCATTAAATTGAAGAATTATCGAAAAAAGGATACCCAGACTAGAGACAGCTGGGATAGGTTCGCAACCATTTAATTTAAAGTATCAGTATCAGTATTAAATTGAATTGGTGTAATAAAGTTTATTAATGGACAATAAAACTCAAAAATGTTTTATTGTACTGTCATTCAGATAACAAGCGTACTTTTTTTGTTTTGTATTTACTCTTCGATTTTGATGTGTTCATAAAAATAATAACTAACTTTATATTCTTTTACCTTAACGCTGGTAAGGGGTTTTCCCTTTTTGTACGACGAGGGGTGTTTTAACCCTTGGGACTGAAGCTTTTCTACGGTTTTATGATCTCTCTGCGGCATCCGGGGCGACTCTCCCCAGCGAATTTAGTTTAACGAATCTTTGATATGTATAGACTATTTGATGAAGTGTAAATTATTATAAATATAAATAATCTAACCTTTTTATTGATCAGTTGTGGTTTGCGATCATTTGATTGAAACTGCTATTTTTAGGTAGATTTTGATAAAAATCTAGCTAATGTGGCCGGTCTTATGTCTGAATTTGAAGAAAACTTTTTTATAATATGTTTTATTTCGTCGAGTTATATCGAAAAATAGCATCGATCCAAAAGTTTATTTATTTCTATATGTGATGTAACGGTTAGTTAACGAGTTGTGGGTATTTAATAGAAATTTACGCTCGTTTTCGTACATTCGCGTCACAAACGTTAAAGCGAATAACGTAAAATCATCGTTGTCAAAATCACCACTTAGTGGCCAAATGACATACAATATTTTTTGTTATTATCGCTCCATAAGTTTAACTTTTGAGGGATAGGAAGCAAATAAGGACATATTCAAATTTTATGAAGTTTCACAAGAGCAAAAAAACTTAATTTTATATTAATTATCTTTTTATTAATATTTATTTATAACGCGCTTGTTATTTTATTAACATTAGGTCCGCTTCGTAATAAACTGTCAGCAGAGAAAGAATTAGCGTCACTCAATAATAACTAAGTTTAAAATTTACTCAAAATCCATCGGTCGGTACACTAGAATTTGATTTATTTTGTTCTAAATTTCATCCGATTGCACAAGGACAGTACGGAAAAGAAAGGGAAAGTAAACTTTGCGGCCTAGGCCGCGAAAAAAAGGCGGTATGGTAGAGTCTCTAGAAATGAGTATCTTTTCGGACGCCGCCCAGCGCTCAAAAGTTGAACTTTTGGAGCGAGCGCATAACAAAAAAGTTTTCTTTTTATTTCCAAAAAATTATAATTCACCCATTTATGTCGAAATAAATTTTTAACTATAAAAGATAACTCAAATATAATGAATTTACTTCAAAGTCACCCGATGAGCTTCTGTATTGATTTTTTGAAAATTTCGAAATATTTTACACTTCAAACAATGATCAGTTTTCAATGATTTTCTATGATCAAATATGATTAATTTGAAATTTGAAAAAAAAAAAAGACAGCCGATGTTTTGCTACCGTTTAATGTATACATGTATGTACGTATGTATTGTCTAGGTGTTACTCACACTGATCATCATCGTCACAATGCACGTAACAGTGAAGCCAATTCCGGTAAGATTGTCGTTTCAGGCGTTCAATTATCAGCTGTAATTACTTGGGCGCATGTATGTGTACGTGGGGACAATTACACAAAGCAACATCTGCTGTGGGCTGTTGCGTCTGCGATTTGGTATAGTGCGAGATTGCCGCTAGTGACACGTAGCCATGTGGTGTTACATGATCCTCAATCGTCTAATATCTCTTTCTACTATATGAATATAGTGGATCGCTGCTGTTATGAAACTTGTGCTCGTGTCGTAGGTTATCTTGTAACTTAGCTTGCAGTGATTTTCAAAAATTGCACTCGTCAGAAGGATGAGCAGAAGCAGTATTAGTATTAGTATTAGTATTAGTGATGCATCGATTAAATTGCATTATAATATCGTCGCATCAGGCTGTTAATAATGTGGTTATTATCGGCACATCATTATCGTCTGTTCGCTGTACCACATTAAGCTTCATTGATGATTACAGACATGGAAACTTACTGATATTAGAGAGTTAAATGACATTTATAATTAATAAAAGTGAAAGGGGGTGTTTATAAACTTTGATTAATTTTAATGAATAAAATAAAAAAGAGTAATTACGATATAAAATAAATAAACAAGCTCATAATATTCAAAATTAGAAAAATTAAAATACACACCGGAATTTTTTAATCTTCTTCAGTTACAAATTTGTTCCTATTTGAACAGTAAATTTTAAAATTTGTAAACGTAAATTGAATAAGAAAAAATGTGAATTTGTATTATTGTCTTTTAATGATGGAATATTTTTTTCTCTGAAATTTATTTATTCTTTGTAGGAACTAAAAACATTATCATTTCCCAAAAATGTACAAATTGAAGTTCTGTAAATGTAATTGATTAATTTTTTCTGGAAAATTTACAGTTTGAACTATCAATCATGAATTATAATGGAGAAAAATAAAAAAAAATTAAAATTTTTGTAGTAAGTACAGTCATCACTTGACCAATAACTTTTATAACTTTTACAATTTAAAATGTAAAAGTTTTTTTTTTTTTAGTCGACGCATGCTGTACACGCTTGTAGCTTACAATTTGTATGAGTACTAAATTATATTGTACTAAAATTATTTACACTAAATTATACAGCCCCATATAGCCCATATTCGTTTACAGTTTTTTTTTTAATCGAAGTAAATTTTGCTAGATAGAAAAACTTACTGAGCAGAGCTAAACTGAATCTTTAACAGTTTCGTTTGTGAAGCGTCGAGTTACTATTTGAGAATTTAATAATTGCTAAATAAAGCGTTATTATTACTGTTCTTTTTTGTCTATGTCTATATCGTTTCATTTAATTATAAATGTATTGATTGACACACAAGTTGTATTCATTTTTTTTAGAGAAAGTATGAGGATTATTATATTGTCGTCTTTTGATCATCAACTTTAATTACAACATGTATGGAAAAACAGTATAGTTGGTTTTTAAAAATAATGTCAAGTGGAGGAATTTATGAATACAAAAACGTAAAGAGTCTCATAAAACGTTTTGAAGTACGACTTGGTAATCGCTCAAAACAAATTTTAACCCTGGTAAATTTTCTCGGCGATTCACTTTACTTTCACCTCATAACCCTCAGTAGTTTCTCTTACACGCGCATTTCAGTAACTGTGCTTTAGCACGTTAAGTCTAATAATAATGATGTCGTAAACATTGAACGACAATGTTTGTCTGTTTTGATGGCAACCTAATTATACTATGGGATATTAAATTCTCTCTATGGAATAGTTTATCAACGTTTATTGCTACTTCGTAACAAAAAACATTATTTACATGTGAATTCAACTGATTTGTTTTTTAAATACCTATAATAAAACAACAAAATATCAACTTTTTCTCTTGTTACTCCCTAAAACTGAATTAGTGAAAATTCGTCAAATAAGTGAATATTCACTTAACTTAAGTGCCAATCGAGCCACTTTTTCGTCAGTGGCTCGGTTCTCACTTAAATAAGTGAATATTCACTTATTCATGCACTAGAAGGATGATAGAAGGATTTCTTAGCATTTAAGAAGATATCTTTGTATTTAAGAAATCATTTCTTAACGAACAGTATTTAAAAAATATTTCTTAAATACAAAGAAATCATTTCTTAAACATCATTTCTTAATAGTTAAGAAATATTTCTTTGTATTTAATAAATAATTTTTACAATTTAATTTTTCTTATATTCATTTATATTTTTAACAATATTTACACAGAGTAATTAAGATATATTAATTAAAGTATTATCGAGGTATGTATTGATAATTATTTTTCCAACTGACTAATATTTTAATATAATATAAGAAAACTTCACCATCAATTTTCATTTGTTATTTTTCTTATATTCATTTATATTTTTAACAATATTTACACAGAGTAATTAAGATATATTAATTAAAGTATTATCGAGGTATGTATTGATAATTATTTTTCCAACTGACTAATATTTTAATATAATATAAGAAAAATTAAATTGTAAAAATTATTTATTAAATAATTGTGTAATATGTAGCAATCTATAGTCTTAACAGCTAAGCTCAGTAGCGCGCAGCAGTTGTACCACTCGCCGCTGCATCATATAAAAATTCATATTATTTAAACTAATACCGGCCAGTGAAATTTTATTTTGAAATAAAGTACTTAAATGTATAACGCGTATTACTAAAAAAAAAAAATTCGATTATCGTACTGAGAAGTCATTAAAATTTTAATTTGTTTATTTAAAAGTTAATAAAAAATATGATAATAAACAAATTAAATTTGCAAAAGAATTTTATGTGAAAATATAGATATTTTACTATAATTTCCTGAAAATTTCGTTAAGTTATCTTCAATAGTTTTTTCACAATCTATTTTTTAATTAAAAGTACCAAAAATTTTTATTGTTGTTAAATACAAAATTTTCAAAAACTGTTTTAAGGGATGATTTTTAGGTATGACTACTTTCGATAATTATATTTTATTAAGTTTTCTATCATCAAGTGGAAAAAGGGGGTCCACTTGACGTGAATTGACTCAAAACATTCATTAAAGCCAAGAAGACTATTTAAAGCTAAATTATCGCCTAATAGACCAATCAATATAAAATAAATAGTGTGATTTTCACCATCAACTTCTATTGTTATACCTTGTTTTGCTAAATGATTAAATTCGGTTTTTATTTCGGCAAAACACCGTTCAGCACCAAATTCCTTGTAATCTGAATTGTATATCAATTGGGCTAAAAAAATATTATCAGTAGTTGAAGCGAATTTAGGTGGTAATGACGCGATTGAACAATATAAACCTCCAATTTTATGGATTCCAGCTGCCGATGAAAGAGGATTGTTTACTTCAAAATCATCGTAGTACAAATAGAGTGGTATAACTGTTTTTCCAGTAAATATTTGAGAAATATTTTTCCATATTGTTCCTTGGAATAAACTAGTATAAACTTCTCCAATATTGTTTTTAGCAGATTCATTGCTGATGAAATTCCTCACAACTTGAAAAACGTTAGGCAATTCCAAAAATTTCTTCAGTGTTGCACGTAATGGTATCATTTGTCCATAGCAGGATTTTTTTGTGAAAACAACGGTGTTTCCTACTGTTTTATTGTCATTTATCTCGCCAATTTTGAATTGTTGAGGAGCTATATAATTATCAGAAGCTTTCAATTGCTGCATACATTTCCAAGTTGAGTGAAAATTATCAAAAATATCGCTTTCGAAACAAACTTCTATGAATTCATGGTACTCGACTGGTATTTCTTTCTTTAAATTTTGTAAGATAGCTGCCGATACTCCAGTCATTAACTGCTGAAAATCTTTAATCATGTCTTGAGCCATACTTTGAGTAATGGCAGGATTGCTATAAATTTTATTGACAAATTTAAAAACGTCGTCTTTAATATTACCTTGCGGACTATTCATTTTTTTGGTATTATTAAGATAAAAATAAATAATAAATGTATAATATAAATGATAAATATTTTTAGTATGTAACTTTTTTCACTTGCTTATTAATTTTACTTTAGGTTAAGGTTCAATTTATTTAAAATAGTGAACATTAATGGTATGGGTACATCAGAGTTAGTTCGTATTTTGTAAATGCCCCACTGTACAAAATACCAAAAGTGTTGAGTTTCAACAGGATAAGCAAGTTTGAACAATACATAAAATTTAAATAACAAATCAAATCCAGCTGCGAAGCTTGAAGCCTCAAAACGGAAGCTATCAACTTGAACGTAAATTTTTTTTAAATCCAAAATATTTGGACCTACCACTATCAAGTAAGGCTGAATTGTAGTTTTCGCTGTTGCTTTCAAAGATACTTTCGCAGCACAAACTTTGTCAATATCGCCGGGTATTTTAATATGGATATATACACTTTCTAGAGTATTTTTATTTATAATATTTTTATCTAACTCCGCAGTTGAAGAAGCGTTTTTTGTTCTCTTTCGCGGTTTTGGTGTCAACAAATGAAGAAAGATTTCTAGTTGAAGAATAGACCGGCTCAGCAACGGAACGTCTTTACTCTTCTGCTCCAAAATTTCTAAATGACCTTGATGTTCCGGGTTTATTTTATTTTTTGAAATCTTCTCAAGCTTGATAAAAGTCTCGTTCCAGCAATCACCTAAATTTATCACGTTCTGAGGATAAACTTTTTCAAAATCAGTGTTTATTAAATCTGCACACACAGACTCTTTCAATATCGGCCAGTCATTTAATATATCCGTTGCACTAGAATATTTATTTGATAAAACATCACTTCTCCGTAGTTCATAAGAATTCTTCCAATGTAACAAAACATTCACTGCATCTCGATGGTGCTTCAACCATTGCTTACTCTCAAGAGCAGAATTTTGATGATTGTTTTCAGTATTTTCATCAAATTCAGTCGAGTCACTAGAAGTATCTCCAAATTTTCGTAAAGTTCTAACAAGTGTTAAAATATTTCGATATTTATCGGTTAATTTTCCTTTGGCGACAATGCTGAGCTGGCTTAAGGAATCTTTTTTCTTCACTGGAGGCACGTAAAAAGTTTGAGTACACTCCGATGGGAAGACTTCAACAATTTTTACGGCTAATTCTTCAATATCTTCATTCTGAAGAATTAGGCCCTTCTTCAAACAATCAATCACTACAATTTCGCACAAATATGAGATCCACTGAGCTTCCAAAGTAGTCTTTTCTTTATTTTTAGTAATCAACAATAGTTCTTTGCCGATAGGGTGATCACTGAGCACTTTTTTTAAATCAAAGTTATAAAATTTTGAGTTTTTTTTTTTTTTACTCTTGGAAACAGTATTTTCTTCTAGTACGGAAGTTGTGTTGCCTTTTGAATTTATAAATTCTACTGGTATTATATTATCAACAGTATAATCATTTGATGATACGTGGATCACTGGAATCATCCGACAATTTTGAGTATTTTGACCATCAGCGATCTGAAAACGGAATTAATAATTAGTTATAATTGAAATTAATTTTATGAAAATTAAGTTAGCCGACATCTGAAAATTGTTCGAATTTTTTTTTAATGAAAATTATTACAGAAAAAAAAAAAATTTCATTTGTAAAAAACTTCAAAAACCATAAGTGGAATTTTTTAAAAATATTTTTTTGTTCTAATTTAATAAATGAAAAAAAAAAATCAAAAATATTAAAAACGTCGGCTGAATTTAGTGTAATATTAATTTTGTGCGTCAAGTGTAATGAAAATAATATGTAGTAAAATGTTAACAGTAATTAGTATTATGGAGATTGCATAAGGTAAACTATAAAAATATTTCGATTAACATAAGCAGATTTGTATAAATTAATGATTGACTTTCTGAAAAAAATTTAACGTATATATTCATCATATTTTTTTTTTAACCGAAGACGTAAACCAACACTTGGAATTACTTCTTTCTGACTTTCTTCTGTTGTTTGGGTGAGGAACTCTCCGAGGATTTCAATATCAGTTATGTGGTTTACTATAGGGAAAGGAAAAATAAGTAGATAAAATTATGGTAAAAATAAAAAGCTAAGTGTCAATGAAAGAATACTGTGAATGTAATGTAAAGGTTAAGTATTGTAATGCTGAGTATAAATTAAATAAATCCAAAAACTTACCACAAAAAGTTTCATGTAAATCACTTAAATTCCACAATCTCAGCAAATCTTCCATATTTTTAATTTCATATGATATCAATTATAAATCAATAAAGAATATTTTTACAACAAACAGACTTTGTAGTGAGTAAATTGGCGCAAGGTAAACATCCAATATAGCGACTTGGCTACACACATTCAAACGTGCATCGTACAGCCCTTACTAATGCATACAGGCGTAAGTACACAGACAAATCGGGGTACAGCCATCTACCGGCTATTTTTCTTAAGAAATATTTCTTAAATATAAAGAAATATTTTTTTGGTGGTAAGAAATATTTGTTTCCATCTAACAACGCTTTGTTAAGATTAAAAATATTTCTTAAATGTAAATAAGTCATTTCTTTTATTTTAATAAGCGTTTTTAATTATTAAGAAATATTTTTTACTCCCTAAGAAATCACTTGAAAAAGTTTTAAGAAATCAATTTCTTACTCCCAAAGAAATCCTTCTATCAGTGTGTTTAGAGAGTAAGAAAACTATTATTTCTTGTATTGAATACAATTGAAGTATTGTATGAAAATATTCGTAGTTTTATTGTTTTATAGTAATGAAATTTTTATCACAATTGACTTGTATTTCTCATAACAATACACTTCCGTTAGAAATGCGATATCTAAATATAAAATTAGGGAGGATTCTACATGAGTAATGCTACATGATCGAATTTATTTCCCTCGACACTCATTTTTTTTTCTTTTTTTGCGTTTTAGTAGTCAATATACGATACGAATACTTCTCTTTTTTAGTTTATTTGCCAACCAAGTGCACTTTGCCAAGTATCGTTATGTAGAATGTTTTTTTTACATACTTATGAAAGTAACAGATAAAAAAACACAATCGGGTTGAATTTACAAGAATTGATCAACTTAGAATCATATTTGATTCATTAAAAAATTATAAAAAATTTTGAAACAATTTAATGAAGATAGTTAGCAACTTAGTATTCCTAACGCTTTGAAAATAATTAGTTGGATATGTTCATTAGAAGTCGCGTTTCACTGCTAAACTACATGCAAACATCTTCACGATGACATCATTAGTGAGACGTTCTTAGATAGTTGAGTCAGCATAAAAGTAATAGACATATCCAGAATTGAGAATGACTCAGACGTATTCAACTATGTGCGATTTCGTAAATATCATGAGGTCAGACAGAAAACACTCAACGGGTCATTTTATCTGAATAACTAATGGTCTATTAGTAGTGTCGCCGCGTTTCGAATAAATCTAAAATATTTGATAAAGTTTAGTAGAACAATTGTACCAGGTATTCACATCTGTAAATCTAACGCCTGGTTATCACAATTTTGTCTCGGTCTTCAAGTGACAATCGTTATCGGTCTGATCACAGATCTAGATTAATATTTACCACGCTGCAGAACTAAGTCTCGAAAAATTAAAAAAAAAAAAACTAGATTCTTCAGATAAACTGAAGTACAATCGGATTTTCGTGTTATAATAAATGTAACGTTGCAAAATTATCGAAATACGAATCATAAATGGTCAATTTTTGTTTTTTACTGCATATATTGATAAATTATTAGTAACAATATTGTTTAGTATAATGGAGTACATGTTTCGATCAGGATTTTGTCATGAGGAAAAGAGTCAAAATAGAATTCTTATTCTCATTTTTATTCAAGGGTCTAAACAAACATTTATTTACACTCAATCAATATTTATTAACATTTTATAAATTATTCATTAACTATTAACACATACTCGTTAATTGTTAATAAATAATTATTACATCATCTAATATTGAATCAAATTAAATTATTCATTAACAAGTCTTTCTATTAGTTTGCTCATCCACAGTAGAAGGTTTTTGCAATATATCTTCAGTTTCTTGTATAACATACTATTCTGATGTGATGCGATACGATAAAAAACTTGAGTAGCTTCAGAACATCATTATACCGGTGTAGTAAAGAAGTTTCAACTTCACAATGGTTTTGCATTACATAATGATGCTGAACTTTCGTTAGATATTAATGAGGCAAAAAATACACTATCAATCACAAGTTTGTATTGTTGATTGAAGCCTACATATTTTGATTTGGTTGAACTTTTAATGTCAAGCTGTGTGAAAAATCGTTTGCAAACTTGAAAAAGAAAAAAATTTGGAACAACAAAGTACTTCTGAATGAATAAACAAAAAAATAATAATAGAATTTTGATTAATGAACCTTATTCAATTGATCTATTTGTTTTTATTGAATAGTACTCATTCAAGTTTACTTATCATTTTTAATGATATTCATCGAATTACAAACTTTGTGTCAAAATGAACAAGGTCATTTGAATCGAATCTACCGTTTTTTTGTCAGATCGCTTCAGCATGAACTACTTCCGAAAAACAATATGACCCTTCATTCCAATAGACGGATTAAGTGAGCTCATTGCATCAATCCAAACCAGCTCAGTTCCATTGTATTGATATTTAGCGTTATATCCTATGTGTATTGTTATGATGTCCAGAAGTATGTCACTTTTGGCATATCAACTGGAATAATAACAGTGAGCATCACTAAAATATTTATGATCCTAAAAAACATACAACAAAGGATGGAACACAATTTCAGATTTAATGTGATTTTAACCCTGGCCTTCAGCTCGGGCAGTCAATCTCACCCTTGTCTGAATTCATATTGTATCACTTTTAGTCACACACTAAACTATTATTACCTATCCCAAGGAAAAGTTTCTGCTTTTTATGTCTTATTTTCCGTAACAAAAATTTTTGGATCCTCCAACTTCTCTTCATGCCTGCCTATGATACATTTTTACAGTTGTCGTATTTCTTGTGCTTGAAATCACGTTATATCATTTCAGACTTTGACCAACAGAAGTATAACCTTTATCACAAATGAACATTTCGGTGTTTGAATGATTTGTTTATGATACATCATTGTCCAAATTTTCAAGACTTGATCTTCCAAGAATGTCTAATAAAATAATGATTAACGACTGTAAAGTTAGCATTGACACAATACAACATAGATCGACATTATTGATGATTGCTCGAAATTTAATCAAGGAGTATAATTCTAATTAGAACAACTAATTATCGACAAATTTAACATCACAAATATATTTTGTTGTTTGAATAATGACTGAGATATAGATAGTCAATGCTGGACGATTTAATGCCAGCTTCACAGACATTAATAATTGGAGGATTATTTCAACATTTAAAAAGAATATAGAAAATCAACATGAAAATCAGTAGTAATGTCATCAATTGATAACTTGTGTTCTGTACATTTCTAGTTCTTCCAAGTTTTTGACGACAGTATCTTACGACTATGCTGTCACGTTCAGTCTGTTTCATGACCCTAGCGCTCACGTGACTGAAATTCTGAATTGTGATCAAGTACCGTCGACCTACTGGAAAATTTTCGTAGCTGACGATAGTTCGTGCCGTTATTCTAAGGACAGGGCTAGACGAACTGTGTTCTCATACTCACTCATCCCAATGTTGCTTTGACATAACGTTATACATGTGTTGAATAATGATTTGTATTCGTTAACTGATCAAACATGAATTATGATTCGTGAGACATTCATCTTAACTTTAAAGAATTGTGAATATGAACATGATTGATTTTTTTACCTTTACTTATTTCATAAGAAGGATTATAAATCAGATATCCCATTTCAGCGGTACACGGAGAAAAAAATTTAGCTACAGGAGCTCTATAGTAGTTAGTTAGTTGTAAAAAGTTCCAGTAGGTTAACGTATTTTTATGGTAACTATACCGTTTGGCTCCTACAACTCTATGTCGTTGAGCTCTAAGAGCTAAACGTTATTTACCTCTCACAACTCTACAGGATCGTTTTAAGAATATAACAAATTTTAACAAATCTATAATGCGCGATTTAATATTGATAATTTAATAAATAAATGAAGCAGAACGAATTTATATTGCCAATAATAATTGTTTATGACAAATAAGAATAGTATTATAATAGAAATAAAATAATAATAGAACTTGTATTACAAATAAAAAATATCACTATCACAATGTATTAAACTAATAAATTAAATTAACAGCCACTGCAAATGAACCTTGAAAAACCATAAATACAAAACCGTCCTAACGAAATTCAATTTGACAAAAAAAAAAAAAAACTATTTCCTTAAATAAATAAACTGGGAACTTAGTTGTCCTCATATATTTTTAATAATATGGATGAGTAACAAAATAATTATGTTTGTCATTTTGAAAGGTTATGAAATATGTCAGCGCACTCCACTACTGCGCAACGTAAAGCTCTTCCAACTATGCCGTTGGTCTCTTAGAACTATCCCGTTGAGCTCTGAGAGCTCAACAACATGAGCTAGTTATCAGAATTAAATAAAATTTTGTTAGCGAACTCTATAGCAAACAGTAAACTGTGTATAATTATGGTAACTCTACCATTTGGTTCCCAGAACGAAATTTTTTTTTTTCCGTGTATATTTACCGTTCTATCATTTTTTAATTTTACCTCTCATATGACTTCCAAATAATGCATTCACTGCTTACTTTTTGATACTTAAAGTAGCAACGATTATTAATTTCACGCTGAATAAACTGGAATTTTAAGATTTTCAAAAAACCGAGTATGGGTTCCTCTTATTGTGGAAGAAGTCAAGCAAGAAGGGTAATGATTATCATTTGACAAAGACCATCGCGTCAGCTCAGTAGTTCGGTTTGTTTCCATATCATTTAAGTACCAGGCCAGTCAAGAAAATATACCCCTTGAGGCCAGCGAAAATCGGGCTTGTGCAAAATGAACTGGGGTTGTTAGATTAAACTCCAACCCTTTGTAACGCCCCGGATACTACTCGTGGCATGATGAGTTAAAAACCTAGTTGGAAGAGTATGTGACTCATGGGCAATACTGAAGCATATCATTCTACGGAAGGACAGGAACACAACTTTTGTCAATAATTAATGATAATTTACAATCGTAATTTATACTTATGATTGTGAAAAAAATTTTTTAAATATCTTAGTAAGCAAA